TGATTTCTGAAGGATCATGTGACTGGAGTAATGATGCTAAAAATTGAGCTTTGAAATCACAGGAATAATTCACATTTGAAAATATTTTAAAATAGAAAACAGTTATTTTTAATAGTAAAAATATTTCAAAATGTTACTGTTTTTGCTGTATTTTGGATCAAATAAATGCAGTCTTGGTAAGCAGAAGAGAATTCTTTAAAAAAAACATTAAACATCTTACTGTTCAAAAACTTTTGACTGGTGTATGTCAGCCTATAGTTTGATATAAGGTAAACATTAATTTATTTGTGCTGTTTTTGTTTCTTAAATATTATATAGTTTTATAGGAGGTTTCATAGAAGTGTTTCCCATACATTGATTTATTTGTGGCGTTTGACTTTCAAAATCAAAACGCAGCACGGGTGTTTTATATGAATGTATCTCTGAAGGGAACCGACTGTCTTCAGAAAAGTTTCGATAAAGCAGCGTTCATGAGCGGAATTTGCATTTTCAATAATAAGCCTGTCTCCAGCAACATGTTTTTGTTGTTGCTCAAATTTTTTTGTTTTTAACAGCAACTCAGAGCACTTTTCATATTCTTTATCCTGGCTCAAGTACATTTGTCTCGATCTATAAGAATAATCAGCCTACACTACCAGTCAAGAGTTTTTTAAAAGTAATATTTGTATTTTTTTTTTTTTTAAAGAATTCTCTTCTGCTCACCAAGCCTGCAATTATTTGATCCAAAGTACAGCAAAAACAGTAACATTTTAAATTATATTTACTATTTAAAATAACTGGTTTCTATTTGAAATTATAAAATGTTATTTAGCGCTGTAATTTTATTTGATTTATATTACTTCTATTTAGCAAGGATGATTTAAATTTATCAAAAAGATTATAATGTTAAAAAAAAAATCTATTTCAGATAAATGCTGTTCTTCTGGACTTCATCAAAGAAACCGGAAAAAATTATACTCCTTTGTTTTCAACATAATAGAATGATTTCTGAAGGATCATGTGACTGGAGTAATGATGCTAAAAATTGAGCTTTGAAATCACAGGAATAATTCACATTTGAAAATATTTTAAAATAGAAAACAGTTATTTTTAATAGTAAAAATATTTCAAAATGTTACTGTTTTTGCTGTATTTTGGATCAAATAAATGCAGTCTTGGTAAGCAGAAGAGAATTCTTTAAAAAAAACATTAAACATCTTACTGTTCAAAAACTTTTGACTGGTGTATGTCAGCCTATAGTTTGATATAAGGTAAACATTAATTTATTTGTGCTGTTTTTGTTTCTTAAATATTATATAGTTTTATAGGAGGTTTCATAGATTTGGAAAATTCATTTTTCAGAAGTTTGTATGCACAGACCCCTTTTGTGGGTGTTCTTGGCAGTTTTTATGAGGCTTTTTTTTTAATAGTGTTCATATTGATGTCGGAATTATATCATATCGACTGAAATTAAGAAATATATTGTGATATAAATTTTGGCAATATCGTCCAGCCCTAGTAAAAGTGTAGTAACCATATTTTTTTTGGCGTATTGATTACCATTTGTATAACCGCAGTTTTACTACAAATACCATGGTTAAACTATGGTTAATGAAGCAAAACCATGGTTAATTTGTGGGTACCATGGTTTAACTACAGTAACCATGTTTTTTTGGTTTAATTTCATAAGGCAATCCTATCTGCTCATAGCCATGCAAATATTTACCACGGTATATTCAGTGTGTTTGTCTGATAGATGTTTTTACTATTTTTAAGGTATTTCTCAGGTGTTTGTAGACAAATATGATGTGTTCTGCATGATTTGCTCTTTTACAGACATCTTGGCGACCTAAATATTAACCGGACAGCATTTTTAATTTGTTTTACAGCATTAGAGCCATCACAATGCCATTTCTGATGCTATTAATAGTCTTCCATATTCAAGACACATATTGTTTATGTCATTCCATCTTTTAGTGGGATTAACTCATGAAAAGCTTTTTTAATAGCTATTGAATTATTCACTAAATGCAGACCTCTGGCGGCAGTCACATGTTTTTGTGGAAACTGCAGAGAGAGCCTTCTAACAAGCATTAAATATTAAACCGTGATCTTTGAAAATAAATAACAAATGGTACAATGTCATCAGAAATAGGTAAATGAACATGACAAATCCTGAAAGACGCTCTGTCCCTGTTTGATTGTTGACTGTGTGTTTTTTTTTGTCCAAATCGACTTTAAAAATGTTTACTCAGATACCATATTTCATTATGAAACTTTATTGTACTTATAAAAGTGGTTATAGCTATTGAAATTAATGCATGATCTCCTTCAAATAGTGTAAGAACTATAATTCAACTCCTCAGGCAACGAATAAGGATCATGGTATATACAAATAAATGTATGCAACATGCAAAATCACATTTGCCATCTAAACCATTGTCTATTCCAAATAAATCACGGATGCTTGAATTGTTTCCCGGAGCAGCGATGTAACCGGTTCCATGGTAATACCGGGAACAGTTTGTTTCTAGACCAGACGTGGATATCAATTTGGGATTGTGAGAAGCCCCATCAGATGTCTGTGTACAGCAGCAAAACAAGCCAGACAGGATCATGTTGCACAAATACAGAAGGATTCAGAAAAATTACTCAGCTTTGTTCCAGGCATTTCAGCTGGTCTTGCCTGTCTGACCATTATAATCCCATCCTTATATAATGAAATGGCCAGCAGATGGCTTATTTTCCAGTTTGGGGGACTGAATAAACTGCATTTGTATGTGGACTAAGGAGTGGGTTTATTTTAAGAATGTGCTTTGTACAAAAATATCTCTTCAGAGACATCTCTATATACACACATGCTCAATTTTGCTTCTTAAAGTTAATATGAATAGCCGTTTGCTAGTTCTGTAATGTGATGTATTTCCTGAGTGAAATGGAGAAATGCAGGACAAGACTTCATTTTATCCATCTGGAATGGATTGGAAGGTGAAAATTGGGAGATACACACCAGAATGGAGTAAGAACCAGAAAAGCTAGTTGGTTTTTGGATAATAGTCAGCATGGTAATTAGCATTAGAGTAAGAGCAAATTGTTGTATTTTCATAAAGGATTATAATATACATAAATAGTTCAAAATAAGACTAGCAATGTGTTTTAAGAAAGTAATTTTCAATATCATGTTGACTTTAAAAGTATTATTCCCACGTGATCCCCATGTCGCAATGGTTACGGAAAAATGTCTGCTCTTGGAAATCAGCAAGGCTCTCAGGCGCATGAGCATTCTCATCAACATGGATTCGATAATTCCCTGGGATGCTCTGTCCAGGTTACCATGGCAATTCAGAATATCTCTGCTTTTAAAACCGCACATGTCCGTTTTTGCTATTCTGGAATGCATTCATTGAAAATAAATCCTATTATTTCCACTGCGCTGCTCAACCCATCTGCACTGTATAGAGAGGCACCATGGTACCATATACTGTGCTACGGAATCATTATTAGATATAACCTAAATAAAGGGGAAACAAGTATAAATTATGTTATCAGCATAATAATTTGAGTGAAATTTCAATTAAAACTTTTAAAATGTCTGTATTTTGTTTTTACAACCCTACAGTGGTGGCTGATACTAAGTTATCACAGTGTGTCTGGAGTAATAACAACACTATAGTAACTATATTTTGATTGAAAATGCAGTTACCAGGGAAGAAAACAATGTGGCCCAATAAAAAACTAGCAAAAAACACATTTTGTTCTACTAAACCCAGCGGCAAAAGCATGGACTACAGATGACCTGAATATGATAGTAGCTTTGTCTTTATCTTTTGCTTATCCCTGAACAACAGCGTGAATTCCAGTATCCAGTGAATCTATAACTGAACCAAATCTCACCATTTGAAAAATAAATGTATGGAGAACATAAAGAGCTCACTGCTATGGAAAGTCAGCAATTATTAATCTCTGTTCTGTTGAATTTAGTGATGTGTTTTAATTGTGTAGTGTTCCCCAATGGTATATTTTGTAATATTGTACTTGCTTTGTATTATATAGTGTAATATATTGCTTAATAGGGAAGGTCACCTTGTAAGCCATTTGTAGCCATTTGTAGTAAAAGTCGCAGTTACCTTTTACATTTTGTATTCAATGATGTTGTTGATTTCCTCAACAACAACAAAACAGTTGAAATATTGTGTCTCTGAGGCGTATGGAAGCTTGTTTCCACCACAGAATAAAAAATAATAATAATAAAAAGATAACTGTGACTTTTTATTTCACAATTCTGACTTTGTAACACGCAATTGCAAGTCAGAATTATGAGATATAAACTCGCAATTGTAAGAAAATAGTCAGTGATTTCCCCCCTCAGAATTGGACTATATAATTTGAAACTACAAGTTTATATCTCACAATTCTGAGCAAAGAAGTCAGAATCGCAAGACAAAACATCAGAACTGCGGGATATAAACTCAAAATTGCAAAATCTAAACTTGCAAATGTGAGAAAAAAGGTCAGAATTGTGAGTGCATAATTATGCCTTTGTTTCTCACAGTTTATATCACACAATTGTGAGAGAAAAGTCAGAATTGCGAGTTTATATCTTTATTTCTCGCAATTTCGAGTTTATGACTTTATAACTCGCAATTGCGAGTGTATATCTCGCGTTTCTGAATTGCAAAATGTTAACTCACAATTGTGAGAAAAAAGTCGGAATTGTGAGGTAAAAAGTCGCAGTTACCTTTTTAATTTTTATTCAGTGGTGGAAACGGGCTTCCATAGTGGTGCTATAAACACATTGCTCTGTTTTTTTTTTAGTAGTATGACCAGCCTGACTCAACCAATAGCATGAGTTGGGGGCGGGGCTTTCTGACCAGTGGCAGACAGGGGGAGTGTTTGTGAATTCTGTTCAGGAGGGTGGTTGCGCAGAAATTACTTTTGTGGTTTTATTTACAATGAATTGTCTCTGGACGTTTTCAATAAGCATCTAACTCGTTTTTCTCTTCTCTTTTTTCTTTTCTCAGTGGTCTGTGGTTTCCGTGGATCAGTGTTACATGGTCTGACTCTAGAGCTTGGAGAAACGGTTCAGATCCTGGAGAAATGTGAAGGTAAGTCATTCCAAGATTCTTTGGAAGCATACTTTTTTAAACGGGTCTTGATGGAAAATCTTGTAAATACTATAAAAGGCACTTTTTTGTAATATAATATTTTTCTCCAGTTTATTGAAAATGTAAGTTACTAATAACTTAAAACCACTTTTTGGTCCCAAACTATCTTGTCCTACAGAGGGACAGCTCAAATTATGTAAAAATAAAAAAGTAATTAAAAGTAATTTTTAATTAATAATTTTAATTATTAATTAAAAATTGCTGTTACCATTTATTCCTTTTCAAATTATGTTTTAAAGGTACAATTTTCATATTTTTTTAAACGACTCATTTAATTAGCATGTTTGTTTCTAAAAAACAAAACAATGGAGTCAGGGTCGATCCATTAAACTGTATTGCCATGTTGACAAAAATAATAAAATGCACAAATACTTAATTTGACCTCCTATGGTGGATAGAAAACATTTTCCAAAGGTTAGACATGACCATTAAATTACAATTTCAAGCCCTTTTGTTTAACCTCTTCATGGAAAGTGCCAAGAGATATATCAACATTTGCCACCCACTCTTAGCTCGGTACGTCTTGTATATTATAAGACAAATTCTCCTGTCTCTGCGTTTGTTGCTCAGTATGTAACTTGTGCTGCCGGCAGTCTTTAGGAACCAGAATAATTCTGAATACTTAACTGTAACCAAGAGACTTTCAACACAGATTTCCAGGGCGCATCTATGGTCATCATGTACAGAGCAGTAATGCATGTTTGATTAGCATATATTCATAATCAGGTAGACTTTAAGAGAACTAAAACTTCTTCAAAGTTAGAGGTTTTATAAGTTTGTTTTCATTTCATGACTTTTTGCACAACAACATTATTAGCTAGATTTAGCTTACTGTTACCTTAGTTCTGCAGATGCAGTTGATGGGAATGTTGTGTGCCCATTTCAGGACAAGGGCTTGATTCATATGGGCGTATCATCGATTGCTTTGATGAAAGCTGTACATCGGCGCCCTGGCCTGAATGTGCTGGCTCGCTCAGATTACGGGACTGGCCATGTGATATTAGCCGTGGCACATCGGTCCTCCAGTATTGATCGAGAGTTCATTCACTTTTTCCATGAGTAATCTTCCTTTATCAGGAATACTGTGAGAAGAATTAGATGAAGCAAGATCTTCTAGACGTTGATGGTCCCCCTAGGCTTCAAACATTTTGCAAGTCATCTTTTGTATGATTCATTTATTCTCAAATCAGTTTACTTTGAGACTAGCTTTATCTCCCATTGGAAATGTTATTGCTTCGGGGTTGCTTTTTTAATAGCTCAAGAGACTTTTCTCAGTTAAGTTCTGAGGCATAAAATAGAAACAAAGGAAACAATTTTTGGCATACTGTTGTAATTTCTATTTGCAAACTTTGGTTTCTTGACAGATCTAAGTCAGTCTGAGCTAGTGCTGGGCGGTATGACCAAAAATTTATATCACGATATATTTCAAAATGATACCGGTTTCACGGTACATGACGGTATTTTTTTTTCCATGCATGATCGGGTGTTAACCATATTTTCTACTGATTGAGAGAGGAAATACTGCAGTATATTGACTTAGAATGCCCTATTTTACTGTCATGATTAGTGAATATTGTCAAAAAATACCACACTAAATAGTGACTAAACACGACCCCTTTTAATACATGTTAACCAGGAGTCACTCATTTATAATCGCGGCATCGTCTGATAAAATCAACATGCATCTACACTAAAGAGCGGCTTTTTTGTCTCATGCAGTGCACTGCCTGCGTCTGAGTAACAAACTAAGAAAAACAACAAACAAAAAAGTGCATGTGATATTAACAGACAAACTAGCTTCATATTTATAATTCCAAACAATCAGTAAGCGACAGGTGATAGGAAACGCTGTTTTGTACTCATTTATTGAGGAGTCGGCTGCGGTGCGGCCAACTGAATGCGCTGCTTCTCTGCCGCTCACTGCACAGAACAGACGCCGAGAGAGGCGACATACGCGGGACAGCACTGGTGAAATCTTCCAACTGAACCATAGCTAAGGTTTATCCCAAAAAGTCGCTAGGTTTGTCAGTATGAATATTCTATGGAAAAAAGCAACTAAAAGGGTCTGAAAGTTGCTAAATCTAGTGCTAAAGTCACGCTCGTGTGTGTGTGAGACGCGGGAGCTGATGGCAGGGGGCGGTGGATATTGGTGGCGGTCAATGTGGATAAGTGGATGAGTTCTTCTGTGTCATCACGTTCTATTAGTTCTACAGCTTCAGTTTCGGAACTTTCACGCTTAGTATCACATACAGCTGTTCCCTCACCACAGTGCACCAGTGAAAAGAGACCCCTTTCAAACAGTGTCGCGTTCCGAACGTTGTTTAAGTGACATACACCGGTATTGCGGTATTTTAAAAATTCATATCACAAAATTCATATCATATCACAAAAATAAACACCGGTATTCGGTATGAACCGGTATACCGCCCAGCACTAGTCTGAGCCATTTTTGAGATGACTAGATTAGAGATCGACCGATATATCGATTTACCGATATGTAAGCATTTTACCATAATCGGATATCGGTTTTGTAATATCGGATTCTCCGATAAACGCTGCCATCTTGTGGGTGTTTTGAGAATTGCGCGCAGGATCGCCACTGCAGCGCATCTGAGTGGAGACGAGACAACAACAATGGCATGGTGCAGGTACTTGATTTGCTGTAGTTAGTAAACTTTATTTAACATAACAGCCATTTATGCACAAATTAGATGCATTACATAAATGCATGCTATGTAGTTTATGCAGCTTGGCTCTAAGAATTAGAGACCAACTCACAGAGTCATGTAAAATAATCTGTCAAGTCCTGTCCCAATGAAGACATAACTTTGCCTGAATTAAATAATATGCATGAATGAGCGCATGTTGGAAATAAAAGCGCTGAATTGAATTCTCTCTCTGTTGTCTATGCTCATCGTTAGTCTCGTGAAGTCGGAGTCACGTAGATAATCCGTCAAGATCCTCTCCCAATAAAGACGTAACTTTGCATGAGTTAAATAATAAAGCCATGAATGAGCACATGTTGGAAATAAAAGGGCTGAATTTAATTCTCTCTCTGTTGTATATTTGCTCATCATTAGTCTCGTGAAGCCGCTTTCATATTGCTGTTCACTCACCGGGTTGATGCTCAGGAAATGCCCCAGCACGGCCACCGCATGTAACTTTTAGCAAGATTCACTTGTTTAAAATACCCTAAATTGTATTAACATTTACTATATAACTATTATTTCGCTAATAAACATCTAAATAAATACAA